AATAATAATCATAATCTTAGAAAATAACTAACACAGAAGCTGTGATATTAATTTAGATGCCATTTGTATCCTGATATTTTCTGTAAACTGAGATTAATTTACTGGAATATGCCTCTAAAATATTCGATAGACCTGGGCAATAAACCAATATAATATCAATACTGTGATTGCAACCATCTCTTGTAGTATTGCATTTGGTGTTACCGTGGTAACCACAGGTGCAGGGGCGTTTCCAGGCTTTTATGACACAAGTGGGACACTGACTTTCCAGTCATTCCCAATTTACGCAACACCAACACTGTTTAGGGCCCTCAGTGTGCAGAAATATTCAAATACACTATGTGCAGAAGTAACACATTTATACCACATCCTGTCATAGAAGCAACAAAGTCGGACTTCAACTTTAAGCAAACTGAGCTGCAACAATCACAAGCAAACATGGTGTAATGTTCCAGTAAAAGTAAGACAAACGACGCAGCCTGGTGCTTTATCTGCTAACAAAATGACATCATCTGGCACAATGTGTTCCAGGACTCGACCGTAAAAGATAAACTGTTGACAGCGAATTGTGGTACAAAAGGAGAACGCAAACCTCACCCACAGTGTGATACTGCTTCTTGCTCAAGTTAGCATCACTTCCTTCTGTTGTTTCAGGAAGTGTCTTGAAAGAGTCAGTGTGAAACCTTCACTCTGGTTGCCTGCATTATATCTAGCTGCTTCACTGCCACAATCATGGCAACAATGACCTACGTGTACTAAGTCTTAACTCAAGTAAGAGCCACACACACACCACTGTGGTGAGAAACTTCAGCAGGTTCAAATCACTTTCAGTCTTTGTTGAACTAAGTAGTACAGCAGAGATACTTTCCCTGGTTTGCAATGAAAAGCACATGGTTTTAGAATATCTAGTATAATGAGACATTACCTTGATAAAAGCAAAAATAAAAGCATAAAGTTGAAAGAAACCACTTGAAATAGCTTAAAGTGCAGAGGAAGAAAGTCTACTTTCTTATTCACTGCTGTATTTAGAAAACAGTTGGGGGATTTCCTGCCACTGACCATACCTAGAAATAAAAGGAGTAAGTGCAAATGTGCAGGAAGGTGATTTTTACATTAGTACCATGTCTAATGCAGCTGTGGGAGTCATGGTGTGGTTAACAAAGACTGACTAGCTTCTGTGGTCAAACACGAGATTCTGAAGCGTTTAAAAGCAGAAGTGACCTGAGAGGCTGAAGTGACGAGTTTCTCTTTGACTGCAAGCACAACTTCTCACAATATGATGGAAGTAATCAATGAAGACTTGCTGACATAAAACACAAGGTTTGAAGTGATGGAATATATCCCGATTAATCCAGGACATGAATGACTGAATTCAATGGCAATACATCCACTATTTGATGAGACGTTTCACTCAAAGACACAAATGTGAACCTCATGGTGGCACTAGAGGAAAAGTTCGACTTAATATCTGAAACAAAAGTGGTCAGACCGACCGACATTTCCACGGACCCACGACACTAATGTGGCTAAAAATGGGGTGACGTCATTTCACTGGGCTCTCGTGCAAATCTGATTTTTCCAGGGTGTCAATCAAGTGGCCGAACACCAACGATATCTGCTGTATTTAAAAAGTGAAAATGCCCAAACACTGCTGGCAGCTGGCGTTCTTCTTTCAGAAAAAAAAGACTTTTTGGTGACACGAGATGCCGGTTTTTGTTTGTTCGTGTACAAGAAACACAAACATGACCAGAAGATCCACGTGACCGTGACCTCATCTGGCCTGAGGAGATGTGGGCATCAGCCAATGACTCATCAGAATGAGGAGAGACAAACCCCCCCCGCCGCCAACTGAGACACACTAATATATTAAAACAATTCAAAATGTGTGTCTCATTCTGGACTGTAAATGCATTTATAAAAATGATGCTTTTAAGAATGAAAGCAGTCCGTCTGACAGGTTTGTTTCATGTCTTTGTTCCTGGTTTTGCATGAGAGGCCAGTGATTGCGCCTCCAGCCATCTGTGGCACAAAGACGCCGTCTGCCAGGATGGACATTTGTCTGCCTCGTTCGTCGAAGACATCATGTTTAATATCGCAGTGCTGCGGGGCGCTCTCCCTACAGAAAAGACACGCTGGAAAACAAAACAAAAACAGTGTCACACGTACACACACACACGTTGCTCATTTAATTAAAAAAGACGCCCTGATATCGTTACTTGTTTCCAAATCTCTGCTCCAGAGCCACAAGCAGCTCTCCAGTGGTAAATGTGTAAAAATGTATATGGAGATGAATCATGTTTATTCAACATATTCATAACACTTTTATTTTTCATTGTTGTAGGCCTAAAGTGAAGTTACATTTATAGTCTCTAATTGTTCGTCTACTAAAAAGTGTCGTATGTCCCGTCCTGACCAGCGAACAGTGGCTCTTATAGTAGAAGGTAGAGGTTGTTGACTCCCTGCTACAGATGGACGTGGACTGGAGACAAACTTAGCGTTGTCCACCTGTGCTCGGATCACTCGAGATGCATGTCCAATGAGGCCTGTAAACCCACATTTACCTCAGCAAACGGACCAGTGTGGGGGTGACACAGCTTTTTTTGTGCACTGGCATTTCTCTTTGGGTTGTTAGTTTCATTTGCATTTCACACTGTCAACACACACTGATCCAAAATCAAGTGCAGAATTGTGGAATATGGCTTATAACAAAAATGAAGGATGTCAAGCAAGACAGCAAGTACCATATATTTATTGAGTGTGGTTATCTTTAATGTCATCATCCATTAGCTAAAATTATCGTAATATTTTTCTAAATTTTCCTAATATAAACTACTAAGTAAACCCTTCTCACTGTTTCACTTATGGGCCTAAATCCGTCCCGTACTAAAGCACCATGCTTTTAGCCAGCACGCTCGAGTAGAGTAAAGTAGTCTCATGACTGCTGGAGTAGTCCTCTGGGACCACCCTGACTCAAAAGGTCAAAGGGTTAGGATCAATAACTGTGCCACGTACTACCAACCCCCCCACAAAAAACCCTCTTACTTACTAATTCTAAAGCTAAAACCATTAGTCATTTTAAAGCCGAAACTGCCAAATACTCACTAATTTGAGCATCTAAGTTGTAAAGATTTGTGTTCTTTCTTGATTTATTGTCGAGGAATTGAGTAGGAATATATTACATTAGCGCTGTGTGATACAGAATCCAATTCCTATGGCATGTTTTAGAGAAGTGAAAACCATCATATTACCTGCGTATACGCTGCATTCACACACACAAGTGTCTTTACCTAGTCCTGAAATTGTACTACAGCAGTCTCAGTAAAACTGTCCTCTTATCTTTGTTGTCTCAGTGCAGCGAGGAACTGCATGATTGGTTCAAAGACAACCAATTAGCATCCAGCATGATTGTGCATTTTCTCCCAAAATGCCCAAACGCAGCTTGGATGTCATTCTCAAGACATGAAACCAGCATCGCCGTCCAAATCTGAGCAATGATGGTCAAAATGCTAAAGAGTTCACACACACACACACACACACACACACACATACCCGAGGACGTCTGCTCCGCTCTGCCTGCTGCCGATGGATGTAAACAAACTCACGCTGCAGACGCCGTCACGAGGCAAAGAGACTGCAGCTGCCGCCAGCGCTCGCCCTCTCCTCTTCCTCCAGCTCCCATCTCTCTTTCTTCCTCCCCCTTTACTCTCTCTCTCTCTCTCTCTCTCCCTCACACAGCTCGCTGCTTCCCAAACATTCAGGCCAATTAACTCTTTCTCTGCCTGGTCTGCAGTAAAAACAGCCTCTTCTCTTCCTCTAGGATTCAACAGAAACTGAACATGGAATGGAAAAGGGAAAGGTTTCAATCTGTCTGTAGTTAACAGGTTCATACTTGCTATTTGTCACTACTAAACAGATACTCAGCCCTCCTTAATATCTTCTTGCTATATAGACAAACGTGATCTGTACGTATGAGGATCATCTTGATCTTCAAAATTAAAACCTAAACTGTTTGCATTAAGAGTAACAACACCACATTCACAATGCTTATGTTCAGTCCAAACCCTAAAGATACTACAGTTTACCATCCTATATGTTTAGCATCAATTACAGCATCAGTTGAGTAGATGGAAAAATAGCTGGCTGCATCTCAAATAATAGCATCAATAAAGAACACCTTTAAAAACATGAATCTTGTTTCTACAGGAGTGAAACACTTCAGACAATAGATATTTTTTGCAGTGGAGATGGCTCATACACAGAAACCACGGGGGAGACAAAGCACGTTTTAAGCCATGCTCCATGTGGTGGTCCTATCTTTGGCAACACACACACACACACACACACACACACACCTAGACACACACCTAGACACACACCTAGACACACACACA